TTTATTATTTCTGTTTTATTTCTTCTTCTTCTTTTTTTTTATTTTTATTTAAATAATTAACAAACGTTAAACATTTAGGTGATTCAATAATAGCATCAGAATATAATATTAAATCATGATTCATATTATCTTTTTCTTCATTATATTTAGGTGTAGCTGGTATTGTTATTGCTTTTAATTTTGTTAATTCTGAAATGTCAAGCGTTGGATCAGCTTTACTTAATATTTTTAGATAATTAATTGTTGAATTTGAACTTATTGGTTCCTATGTTATTAGTATTTTAATTTTATCGAATTACTAACTAATATCTCTAAACCATAACTGCATTTTTAAATATAAAAAATAAAACGAATTGAAAGAATTTATTTATTCTTTTTTTTACTCTTTAAATAACCACAAACTTCTTCATTTCTTATTAACACTCCATCAATATGAACATAAAGTGTTTCTGTTAATAAACTATCTTCTGATAGTTGTAAATTAGTTTTCTTTCCTCCAATACCTTTATTCTTCTTCGTCATCTTCTATTTCTTAAATTTTAAGTTCATTTCAAAAAAAAATTGTATAAAATCATTATATATAACAAAAATTAATTTTTTGGGGTTAATAAAAATACTCCTAAATTGCAAATTCCATAATTCTTTATAGAATAAAAAAGAAAAGAAGTTATTCATTACAACTTAGGGTATACTTTTCTTACACAATATTACACAATTATATTTCCTTACAATTGTCCCATTTTTCTTTGAACTTTTTCATAACTTCTGAGTTGTTTTCCTTTTTCAGCTGCATCTTCTTCACTGTCCACATTCTAAATAATAAGAGAAAAATAATCAATTTAAAAAAAATATTTTAACAAACCAATACATAAGGAATAACACCATGAACATTGTGGTCATCTCCAAACTTCTTTTTAAGTACATTAATTTTTTTATTATTTTCTCCTTTTTCATCATCTACTTGATACGCTAAAGGACGACATCCACTCATCTTTTTTATTTGATCAGATTTTCTTATTAATTGCCCATTTTTAATTGCTTCTTCTTCTGTAGAAGCTACAAGAAATGGTTCAATCTTATCAATACTCGCATGCCTACCAGTAATTTTTGATAATTTTTCTGTTCTTTGAGTTTGGTGTTCATACTTTGGATCAGGGGAGTGCGACATGCAATAATCAACTAACACTTTTTCTTTATTTTTTTTATCTTGAAATTAAGAACTTATTTTTATTTTTATCATTCCATTCGATTAATTATATTTTTCTTGGTTATGAAGGGAGTCATTCTTCTATTCCTCTCAACACTACAGATCTTAAAATGAGTTGAAAGAAGTTGGAATTAGTCAATCAATTCTATGAGATATTTTCCTTTTATAACAAAATAAACTCTTATAACGTATATTATAACAAAAAACAAAAAAAATAAAAAGAGAATTATTCTTTTTCTATCAAATGTTTTGTTTTAAAAACATTAAACCGAAAATGCTAAAAAGTTCTATAAACATCTTATAAGATATTAATGCTTTTAACATCAGTCAAGAAACTTGGAGTTATTCAAAATATTCGAGACAATCCATTACTTATGTTTAATGAAGAGTCACAAAAAAATATTGTTATGACAACAATTAAAGAAATAATAACAAATGTTGATACGTTTTTTCTTAAGATTTCTTCAATAGAACGATTAAATTTCATTTTTAATGCAATATCAATTGGGTTTAATTTACCTTTATTATCAAATTTAGATTTTGAACGAGCAGAACAATGTATAAGTATTTATCAGTTTGTTTAAGTAAGTAATAAGAAGGATTAATTATATTATTATTGATACATTAGAAATTTATTAAAAAAAAGTAAAATACCAATTGAATTTCAAAAAACACCAAAAATTATTGGTTCAATGTTATGTGATATTTCATTATTATTTAATAAAAAGAATAAGAGTGAAATGTATTATCAACAATATAACCAAATATGTTTAAAAAGTTTAGAAGTATTTGAAAAAGGAATAAGTATTTTAATAAAAAATAAAGAATTAGATGAAATTAAAATAGTAATAATATTATTAATTGGAATGATTAAAGAAATGTTAGAAGGATTTAGTGCAAATAATCAATTATTATATTCAAATGTAATAATAAAAATATTTTCATTAATAAGTGATTGTTTAATAATAAATGATAATAAATTTGAATTATGGAAAATATTTAAAAAAGAAGTAATTTATTTAATAGAATTTAATGAGATATTTGAAATATGGGCAAATTATGTAATAAAAATTCAACAAATAATTATTTCATCATTGTATTGTAATGACCTTATTAAATTTAAATTAATGTCTTTTTCTAAATCAGAAGTAATAGTAATTTCTTTTAAACAATTAAAAAATCTTTGGATTCAATTCTTAAGTTGTGTAGAATTTAAATTAATAAAAACACCAAAAACATTACTTCATTACTGTCAAATATATTCAAGACTCATACAAGAAATGAAAGATTTATCAATAAAATTTCTAAAACAAAGTCCATTACCAAAAACAATTTATTCAATTTATTTAAAAGAATTTATTAAAATTATTATTTCAATTAACCAACAAGAATTTAATGAAGTTATCTATTTTATTATTCCAATTTTAGGTAATTTTATGGAAGAATGTCTTAATAATATTCAATATAATGAATCAATTGTAAACGAATTAATTTACTGTTTTAAAAAATGTTTAGAATCAACAGAATATAATTTATTAATAATTATATATTCTGAATTAATTAATATATTAAAATATCATCAAAATCAATTATTATTATTATTTAAACCTTTAATAAATTCAATGGAAAAAATTATATTACAAAATAAACAACAAACAAATAAAATAATTTTATTATTATTAAATGAAATGAAATATTATTATTCACTCATTTGTCATACTCAAATATTTGAAAGGATTGAAATTAATAAAAAATATTGTTTAATACTTAATACTTTATTATACAACAAATATTTCACTTTAAATGAATATTATTTATTATGTATTATAACTGAACATTTTATTATTGAATCTTCAATTGATGAAAAATTACCTCAGTCAAATAAAATTGAAATTGAACAATCAACTATTCCAATTCATTGTTTTGAATTATTATGGAAAATTTTTATTGTTTTAAAATATGGTTTATTAAATAAATTAATATTAACTAATAATGAACAAACTCTACTTACAATTATTAGAATATTTAGATATTCTTCTTTTTATATTTCTTTTATGGTAAATAAACGTTGTTTTATTGTTGGTGTTATTAATCTTTTTTGTGAATTAATGCCTAAAATTTTAAGTCTTCCATCAACATTAGTTTTTAATAGTTCAATGCATTTAGTTATATTTTTTTCAACATTATTACCTTCATTACAAGATAAATTATTCTTTAAAATAAATGATATGTTCTTATCTTTATCTTCTTCTAAAAGTTCTTTTTATGCTGCTTCATTAGAACGTTTTTATACATTTTTTATATCTTATTTCTTTCAACTAACAACAAAAACTGATATTCATTTCTTTGACTTGTTTATTCAACACCAACCAATTAATAATCAAATATCAATTTCAATTAAAAATGATAATGCAATATACACTATTTTTGAAAATACTCTTTCATCACCAAACTCATTTTATATTTTTGGAATTAATACATATAATAAATTAATTAATAAACTTATAATATTAAATCATCATTTACAATCAACTCAAATTCCTCTTCCTATAAATCGTTTTAGTTATTATCCTGAAGGAAATGAATTTGAAACTGAAATGACTCAATTATTTATTCAACAATTAAATATTAATAAACCTTTAATTATACAACCAAATCAATGTATTGAAAATAAAAAAACATATAATAAAAATTCTAATTTGTTTAAATATTCTTTATTAAATATTTCTATTCAAACATTATTTTCTTCTTCTCAAATTCTTGAAAGTCCAATTACTTCTTTATCTATTTCTTCGTTACCATTAACATTGTATCTTTCACCAATTATATCTCCAAGAGATAGTTTGTATTGTAAATCTTTTCTTCATTTATATTCTTCAAAACAAATTAATTTAATTAAATTCCCAAATCAAAAATTAGATATTGTTCTCAAAACTAATGAACATGTCTTTGGTGATGTCGTTGTTAATTTTAAAAGATGTAATGAACAATTATATTCAATTCAACTTACTTCAAAAATTATCATTTTTGTTCACTATTCTTCATTAATTCATTTTATTTCCAATTATCTATTTGAATCATTAATTCAACACGATTACAATAAATTATTTATTGATATCAATACTATTAATACAACTCTTATTAATTTAAAAACTCAATGTCCTTCGTATGAAGCAATTCTCTTTCCACAAATTCTTAATTCAAAACAACTACCAAATTCTAATTCTAAAATACAAAAATTATTAAATGATGATGAAACAGATTGGTGGGGTGTTCTTGATCAAAATCTTGTTATGTGTAGAAAAGGAAGTTCACCATTAAATATAACATTGCTCCAAACTCATTCAAGAAAACGTTCAAAAAGTTCACCAATTGATAATTGATTATTACTTCTACTTTCTTTTTATTAAACCTAATTTAAATAGTAAAATTTAATTTGAAATTTAGTAAACTGGCCCTTGCAATAATAATTCAACAGCAGCATTCACATTTCCTCCAACTCTTTGGAGAGCTCTAAGATTTTCTTCTTCATCAAAAAATCCCATTTCTTTTAATTGGTTAATTTGATTGGCATAAACTTCATGAAGATTTCTTTGGACTGGCTGTGCAGTTTGTGGTTGGTTTAGACCACTATTTTGAGAGGGTTGTTGTCCAAATAACAAATTAAATGGATTTGGTTGTTGTGCATTTTGAGGTTGTTGGAAATTTGGTTGTTGAGTACTTTGAGGTTGTTGCATACCAGCCATTCCCATCAATGGATTATTACTAATCATCATTCGTAGCAATTCTGGGTTACTAATCATTTGGTCAAACATCATACTAAACTGTGGGTTATTCATCATTTGAGCAGTTTGTGGGTTCATCATTAACATAGCTCTCATTGCTTGTGGATTTTGTGTTAAAAAGTTAATGGCTTGTTCAAGCATTTGTGGGTTTTGTTGTAACATATTCATAGTTTGTTGCATGTCCATTCCTCCCATTCCATTAAAACCTCCCATTCCACCAAAATTAGGCAAAGGCATATTACCCATTTGTGGTTGTTGAAAAGTACTTTGTTCATTGGATTGAAAAGTTGGTTGTGCTGGTTGTGAAACTGGAGTTGATTGTGAACTTGGAGTTGGTTGTGAAGGGACAGAAGTAGGACTACGTGAACGAACAAGGTGTAATGTAACATTGTTATTAATACCAAGAGTACTTAATACTTCATCATCTTTTAATACTCGACCAGCAAAAATCAATCTAAATTCTGCAACATCTGGTTGTTGGTTGCGAATTTTTTCTTTAATACCAGAGACTGTCATACCATTAAACTCATTATCATCAAATATAATTTCAATTGTGTTTGAAGAATAAGTTAATCGGACATTAATTTTCATTGCTTTAAATTTTTGTTATTTTTAAGTTCCTTTTCTTTTTTTATTCTGTTTCTTTGCAAAACTTCAATTAATCCTATTTTTTTATTTTCCCTTCTCTTATATTCAAGTATTTTTTACTTTTTGTTCTTTTGATAAATTAATCATTCTGTCAAATCCTCACTGATAAATCACCACGTATTTTTTTCAGTCAAAACTTAAAATTTTTTTTTAAAAGATTATATAATAACATAAAAACAAATAACACAAAATATTGATTGGAACAATTAAATTAACTTGGGTTTCATATGATTTAAACCATTGTTTTTAGTCAAGTTTTCATATGAAGGGTCTATCCTATGTTCTAGTCCAATATAACGAATAACACGAGCCTGTTGTGAATAAGAAAGATCGCTCAATACTCTTCTCATTAAATTCATTAATTTAACACGAGTTAAACGAACTTTTCTTAATGTTTTTTGTTCTTTTCTGAGTTTGTGTTGTAATACACGATGGTCATGAGTATTTTGTAATGAGCTTAAATCAAGCATATCTCTTTCTGCCTCACGGTTTAATCTTCGTTCTATTCTATCAAGTTGTTTAAGTTTATGTTCATACAATTTACATTTTCTCATTACTTGTTTAACTCTAAACCTACACAATTTCCCACTGCACATGTCTTCTGGAGAAATATATTGATTAGTTAATAATGGTGCAGTCATATACATCCCAACAATATCAGCATGACAAAGAATAACAAATAACAAAAAATATAATCCTTTCATTAAGTAAAAAAAATTATAATTTTTATAAGATCAATTCTTTGATTTTTTTTTATCTTAACTATTGTATCAATAGTTTTCTTAAAAAATCATTATTATTTATTTTTATATAATTGTTATTATTTTAGTAGTTTTTTTATAATTTTCTATTCTAATAATATTATTATTCTTATTAAAATAATAAGAACCATTTAATAATAAAATTATTTGTCTTATTCTCATTTTAAATGAAAGTTTAATCTAAAAAGTGTCTATTAAAATAATAAAATTATGTATAATGATTTTTACTTTATCTATTCTTAATTTATATTTTCAAAAATATATTTCTTCATTTCTTCTATTAAAATATTATTTTCATAAACTTTTTCTTATTATTTTCTTTTAAACACTTTATGTCTGTTTTTTTCTTACTTATTTAATTGTTTATTGTTCTTTTAAAAGTGTTTCATTTGTATAATTTGCTATTTACTATTTTTATATCAATTTCATTTAAAGAGACTCTTATTTCTAAAACCTTTTAATAACCAGTCTTAGGTTGTATTTTTTAATAATATTGATATGGATATAAAAAGAATTGTAGTCAAAAAGCAAACTCTTTGATTGGATAAGCTTATTTAATAAATTCATTTTTTTTAAACAAAACATTGAAAATACATGAAAACTATACAAGAGTAGAAAGACAATTACTGACATATCATTATTATTTTAATTTTTTTTGACTTTATTGATTTACTATTTTCAAATGCCATCTAAATTCGTTCAAATCAATTAAAATTATCTAGAAATTACTTTATTTGTTATATACATCATAAAAACTAAGTAAGACAAAAAGTATTAATAAGTTTTATTTATTAAAACAAGAGAAATATACAACAAAAAAGTTTTAAATTATTGATTTTAATTTTAAATATAAGTTACAGAAGCAATAAAAATAGTCACTTGTTAAATCCTTTTCCATTTCAAAAGTTTTTACTTTATAAATTCCTTCTCTTTTAATTTGAAAGTTTTTACTGGGTTTAATGTTTGAAATAATATTTTTTGAGAAATACCATTGATTTGGTTCTTCCCTTTGTTAATCAAATACTAAATTTAAATCAGTGGTTAAAAATGGCATATTTAAAATTTTTCAACAACGATTCTCTCAAAAAATAAAAACACAAATAATTATCAGTCTGTCTACAAAATATTTCAGAAAACTTGAAACTAAAAGAATTTAGTTTCTTATTTCGAATAACATTAATAGAGTTTATATTAATATATGAAGTATACCACAAAAAAATGATACATTATGTATGTTGTTTAGATATAAGGAAAATTAATAGACATAAATATTTATTTGTTTATAACTAGTTAAGAAAAGAATAAAATAAATAATAAGAATAGACAAATAAAACTTACTTCCAAAGAATTAACTGTATTATAAACATAATTTCTCCTATGAATAAAATTTTTCTCATTTTTGGTTTAATCAAAAAATTTTCAAGATAGTGAGGTGTTTTTTGATAAAAAGTACAAAAAAATGAATGAGTGATAAAGAGAAAATAGATAATTTTTTATATGTGATAGTTTGCCATTTTGACTTTCATTTATATTTTTGTTTCCTTCCATTAACACACTAATTCAAAGAAAAGATAACATTTGACTAATAATATTTATTATAAAAATAAGTTATTGAGAAAAAAAAAGAAAAAAAGAGATGTAATTTTTTTGAAACAAAAAAGAAAAGGTATTTATAGAAGAAACTGCAAATAAACAAATTAAGAAGATCAATTAATGAGTGACCTTGACGATTTACTTAATTCTCTTAATGACACACCTGCAACTAATCAACAAAATACTCAACAAGATGAACTTGATGATGTACTTAATGCATTAAATGATATGGTTGAGAAGAAAGATACAAATAAACAAAAGAAGGAAGATGACTTAGATGATTTATTAGATTCCCTTGACGCTAAACCAAAGGAAGAAACAAAACCAAAAAAAGCAGATGACTTAGATGATTTATTAAATAGTTTAGATGATAAACCAAAACCTACTTCATCTCAATCTTCTACTAAAGTTACTACTGAATCTACTCCTAAAAAAGATGACTTAGATGATTTATTAGATGGTTTAGAAGATAAACCAAAATCTACTCCACAACCAGCACCAAAGAAAGACGATTTAGACGATTTATTAGATGGTTTAGAAGATAAACCA